ATGTAACACTTTACCATTTTCAGGCTAGCTTCCTAGCGAAGGATTGTTCAAACTGAAAACCTTCAATCGAATCCACCGAAAACTGCAATTCATCACAGGGCTTAACTCTTTCGTTTTTCTTTAGGTCGGAACGCTTGCTTCAACTCTTTCAACCACGTTGCTGCGAAATCACCATAACAAAGAAAACTCACAGCTTGCTGCTGCTGCTGCTGCGATTTGAAAGCATAATTTAAAACGGAACGTCGTCGGTCGTCAGGGAGGGAAAAAAATGTGAGGGGTGATTTTTTTCTGCTGTTGCCTTGATCGACACGCGAAAGGGGTGACGTTTTTTTATGTATTCAAATTTTTTTTTGTTCGTTCTCTGTATGCCGAACGCATTTAGACGATTTAACCCGTTATTTTTTCATGTGTTCATCCCTTTCGTCGCTCGATAGCGGAGCATGTGCGCCTAATGTTGTTTAGTCAGTGTCCCGTTTCATGAGGGTAGCAGTTTTTTTAAACGTCATCAGCTGGATTTGATAGATGAAAAAATGAGTTTTTTTTTTGCCTACTCTTGGCATCAAGTTTAAAGTTTTTTTTTCTGCTGTTCTAACGTGGAAGGGAAATGGAATTATTAGATTAGAAAATACGTTTTAATTGTGTACTGTGCGCAATGAGATCGCGCCAGGATTGTTTGTCGCTTGTTGGCTTCGATTTTTTTTAGTCGGGGTGGTTGTGTTTTTTCTTAATGCCTTTGGGTACAAATAAAAAGACGAAGTGAGTGTCCTTAATTAAGGGACAGAGTTTTTTTGTTTCTTAAACTTTTTGTTTGGCATGGATAAAAGTGTTTGTTAACGCGAGAAGCTTGAGGTTCGAGTCTGGTTTCCGGAGCAAACTCGGTGAAGGGGTGACAATCATTTTATTTTTTTGCTCAGCTTAGCTTCTCTATTGTTTCTGGACGGAATTTGAGGTTACCGGTGAAGGAGGATTTTAACGAGAGCAGATGTTGATGACTCGGTAAGGATTCCCTAAAGTGAGCTCATTAGCAAATGGGTTTCGAACAAATGGGGTTCTTCAGCTAGAATAGGAATCTCATTAACCTATCCTCAAAGGAAATACGTACTACATATAATGGAACTCTGGAACAGATTTTTAAAAATGATTCCAGTTGGGTTAATTTTACTGGAAAATTGGGTTGCATTGTATATTTCTTAGAGTACAGGAGTAAAACTTTTTTTCACAACACCGCGATTTTTTGACGTAGGACTACGTCTGTGATTTCTATATGGGGTACACTTTGTGAAAACCAAAAATGGAACATGTAACGAAATTATGAAAGATTTTCAACGTTAATAACTCAGCTTCCCCTGGACCAATTTCAATAATTTTATTACCAATCGATCAGAAATATTTCTACGCATCTGCTAAATTTAAGACCTAATCATTTTTCAAAATGTCACTACCGTAAAACGGGGTATTTTTGATAATGCAGGTAACATTGATAGTGTAATATAGAGATTAAATTTACTCGCTGTGCTTTTTCCAAATAAGAAACATTGGTTCCATATTGTAGCTTAGGGTATCTCCGTTGATATCGTATATAGTTTTTATATAGAATGTGTTACAAAACAATTTTCGTGTTTTTCGCCTTTTTGAAAAAGCACTCAAACCATCACTTATGAAATGTATTTCCGATACAGCCATCACAAATTCAAAGTTGTATTCTTATTGCTTATGAAGTTTTCTGATTGTATACTCATTCAAAGATTCATATTTAAAGAACTAAATTGATTGAGTTTCATTCATTTATTTTTTTTTATTTTCTTCATTCATCGAGCATTATCAAAGTAACCCCAAATCAAAATACTGAAGTTCGGTCACAAAACTAAAGAAATAGTCCAAATGCTTTAATTTTTGTTCAACATATTACTAACGAATTCTTTATTGGGTTATCACTACTTGTTTTAAAAATATAACATTTTAAAAACATTCATTACTGTAAAAAATATTTAGAATAAACTTTAAAAAACTACAAGGAACAGCCCTATGGGGTTGTACGCAATGGTGACGTAGGACTACGTGGTCTTATATAATAAATCTTATTTGTTAACTAGAGCAGGAGCTTGTGTTTTGTGTAGGAATAGGAATTTGAGCGGGGTTTTCTCTGTTTATACTCTTTAGTATGAAGCGACATAGATGGCTCACAGCGACCCACGAAGAGCTACTGATTCCGATTTATAGCGGTGCGGCTTCTTCCTCCTTTTATGGATGCTCATTTGGGCTGCAGCTTGCTGCTTGCAGGCCGCCTTTCGTTGTGTACTGGAGAACACCACCACTCACCACGCGGTGATTGAATAAACACCGTTTGGTGAGACCGGATGAAATTCAATTTTGAACTCTGTGTTAGGGAAATCGCTTTTCACAGGCAATCGATGATAATTTTAATTATCATAGCATTTTGATAAATGATAAAGTCTTTAAATTAACAGATGCGTAGAAATATTTCTGGTCCATTGGTGATAAAATTATTGAAATTGGTCAAGGGGCAGCTGAATTATTAAAGTTCAAAATCTTTCATAAATTTGTTACATATTCCATTTTCGGTTTTCGCAAAGTGTACCCTCATATAGAAATTACAGACGTAGTCCTACGTCAAAACTATCAATGTTACTCCGTTTTCCGGTACTGAAAATTGCACGAATGTGTAGCTGTTGCTATGATAATTAAAATTATCACCGATTGCCTACGAAAAGCGATTTCCCTAACACAGATTTCAAAGTTGAATTCCATCCGGTCTCACCAAACGGTGTTTATTCAATCACGGCATGGTGAGTGGTGGTGTTCTCCAGTACACAACGGAAGGCTCCCCGCCAAGCAGCTAGCTATCAAGACTGCCCCCAACTGCCCAACTAAAATTCATATCAAAAGGTTCTTTTCAAGGTAAACAGCGGGAATCCCGCTCAAATGCCTATTCCTACACAAAACACAAGCTCCTGCTGCAGTTAACAAATAGCATTTGTTATATAAAACCACATAGTCCTAAGTCACCATTTCGTACAACCCCATAGAGCTGTCGCTTGTAGTTTTTTTAAGTAAATTAATTTATTTTTATAGGCTCAATCGAATAAACTTTGCAGAGCCAAGTCATCATTTGCGCTATACATAATTAATGAAAATTCCACGATTACGATCATACATACAGTCAGTGTTCGAAGCTATGCTGATTGGAGTGAATGATCAGCATACCACATCTACGGAATTTTCATCACGGTAAGATAAGATTGTGGCTTTCCGAAGGTTCTCCAGATTTTCCAGAAGTTCTATGAACCTCCCTGAAGTCCTGAGGTTAATGAAACTGTCTTACTGGTGCATTTAGAAGAGGGGGAGGGGTTCGGGTTTATAACCCTCCCCCCAGCCCCCAAACCTTTAGGTTAATATAAAATTGTAATTTCATACAAAATGTGGGTCAACTTTTACACTTTTTCATATGCACAGATTGGGAATCAATTTTAGCGATTTTTACGATTGACCACTTTTCGTTCAATCCTAAATTTTGTGTAGAAGCATCAAAATGCAGGGAAAAGTGATTTATTTTAAATCGTGTGGAATTAAAATGTTTAGAATTTAACTCAATATAACACGCACCCCACGGGATGATTTTATCCGAAGGAAAATTAGTTATGAATTACTGTACAACTAAATTCCTTAAAGTATTAAATGAATTTAAGAATTTTATTTTAATATTTTGATTTACCCTGCAAGACCTATTGAATTTCCCCAAAAAGTGTCGGTCGACTTCTCTGGGAGTCAACTTGTTCCAGATGTTAAATCCAACTACTCCCGGAAGTGTCATCCGACTTCTCCAGCATTAGTTTTCCAAATTTCCTCGATTTTATCTGACTTTCTTCAGGAATTTCTAAGCTTCAAGCTACGATCAGACTGACCAGTTTCTCTGTACAAACCTGTTATAGTTTATCTGACTACTAATGTAATTGGTTAACAGTCAAAATATTTGTGACTGTCGAACTGTGCGAGGGGGGCGACACATCTAAATCTCAAGTTTAGATGCTCAACAAATCTCACACTAGCGAATCAATCTTCGAAAAATCTTCTTTCATTTGTCGCATCTACTTGCATCGCGCATCATCTTTTTGCAGGAAATCTTCAGAATCGTCATCAAACTTCTTTCTATCTACTCAGCGTGCGCGCAGCTAGCCACAGCAAAACGCAATCTTTTCTGCATCGTAGATAGAGTCGTCCCCCTCGGAACTGTGGACAGTCAAAGTGCATAGATTATCTGTGACAGTGTGATCATGGTCTGTTGACCAACTCTTGCTAACTGTACAGACAAATTTATCTGTTTTGGCAACTGTTCTGTTGGTTGGTTTGGATCAGATGGCATTTGGTTGTGTGATCACAAGTGACGCAAGGGGTTGGTCACTCAGCACAGTGTGCCAAAAACACAGTAGGGCACACCATGGTACACTCATTGGCACTGTTCGGCACCCATGGTACATCATTTTTATGATCTCTAAAGTAACTGGCATGACTGCACTATTTCTGCACTTCCGCAGTGCGGATGTGTCAAAATTTGATTGTTGACACAAATAATTGTTGGTATCCGCAACAGATAATTTCGCCATCCGGTACCCTCAGATACAGACTGGAGAGACCGGTGGAAATATATCTTCATCTAGACCAAGCTCATCATCGTGCGGCGACGTGGACAGTCCCATCTGGCGTAGCACTTCTACGGATTAGTTTCGTACGGTTCGCAGGGGTCGATTTTGGCAAAATTGAACTGTGACGAATTGATTTCCTGCGTCAATCGTTCCGTTTCCAGCAGCTTCAGTATAGTGATCCGAGTTTTTGAATTCTTGTCCAACAGCGAAAACAATACGTACTCCAATTCTTCGCTGATTTAGTGCGGAATGATCAGTTCGGATTTCCTCAACATCCACGAATGGGTTCTTGTAAAACATCAACACGTACAGTATCACACCAAGAGTCTACATTTCCAGTTCCGGGCCGGAGTAGCGGTATTCCTGCGAACACTTCCGGACTGCAATACTCGGTCGTGCCGTATAAGTTGCCCTTCCTGTACGAACGTCGCCGATCCGAAGTCAATCAGCTTGATATGGAAATTGTGATGCAGAATGTTCAACGAGTGCAGGAAAGCAACCACACTAGCAATCTGTCAAAAGATCTAACAACCCAGCTTCTCCGTCAGCACGGGTCTTCGATCGATAAACTCGAACAGATCCATTCCGGAGCCTGGGATTTCCATCACAACCTGGAAGAACTTGTCGTTCTCGAACCAACAACAGGTACACTTTCATCGGAATTTCCTACTTCTCCTCGGTCTTAATCATAAACTGCGGCACGAGCTTCTCCTTCAGTATGAACTTCGATATCAGCAGCAACCTATCCGAATTCCGGTAGCTCAGCATCACATACCCGTACGTGCCCTTCCCAATGTTCCTCGCAAGCGTTGTAATATTTGCTGTACCTGTGGATCAAATCTTCATCGCACTGTGACACACGAGAGATGAAACTGGGCTGACTCGAGTAATCTTGATGGCCTGCCCAAGCGAAATGTCCACCGTACTAGTCACGCTGTTGAACATCAACGACAGATTCTGATGCTTATGCTCATCCTCCAGGTTGTTGTACGATGAATCCGGATCTCCACTTACCCAGATGCAGTAGACCTTCCTCCCGCAGGGAAGCGTCTGATTCGAAATGGTGTACAGTATGTTGATCACGTTGCCATCGTAGTGAATCGCTTCCCCAACGTACTTCCCATCCGATCGACCTGCGGAAGTGTTCCAACGGCCGAATGTCGTTTCTGTTGATCTGGGATTGAAGATTGAACGTGATCATTGTCTTCGACAGCTCGTACGGTTTGACTTACCAAAACAAAACATTTGTTCTGTCAAACTACCGGGCTGCCAAACATACAATTATTCACAAACAAAATCAGTCCAATGAATGGCACGCTCGGTCCAGCGCGGCATACTTGAGGCACACTGAGAAAAATGTCGGGGCAAAATAAGTGTGTAGAATGAACAGGCATCAAAGTTATCTGATAAATGGTGATAATATCATCTATCAGATAGAGGCCTATTACAGCGATAGGTTCCTATTTGATAGATTCTTTCTCAGTCTTTCATGATAGAACCCCTATCCCATCTCTGATGCTATCATGATAGACAAAATGATAGATAGCAATATCATTTCCCATTGCTATTATGATAAATGGTCCATCTGATAGTTCAACTATCACATTATAGAGATGGGAATTCTATCTGTATCAATGATAGTTTGAAATTATAAATTTTATACTGAAAAACGGACAATTCATCTCCCAAATCGTCAAAATAAAAAACATTCCAATCTGACTCAATATTTATATTTTGGACCGGGGACGAAGTGTAGATGCCGGAATTGATTTCTGTCCTTACAGTATGGATATTTTAAGAACGAAGATGACGTGTAAATACCGGAAATAATGTACGCCGTCCAATGAATACCCTTCAATATGGTTATTTTTGGAATCGAGGTGACGTCTAGAGACCGGAAATCGATGTCGGACGCCATTTTGCAATCCAATATGGCGGCTTCCTTGTATAAACAATGTGGAGACGTTGTCAAATATACTTCAATATGGGTATTTTAGGAATCATGGTGACGTGTTGAGATCGGAAATCGATGTCCGATGCTATTTTGAAATCCAAGATGATGGCTTCTGGGTATAAACAATCTGGGAGACATTATTAAATACCCTTCAATATGGGTATTTTTGGAATCGTGGAGGCGTCTAGAGATCCGAAATTGTTATCCGACGCCATTTTGTGCGGGTATGCGGGTATTTTGGAATCGGGTTGACGTCTAGAGACCAAAACTCGATTGCCAACGTCATTTTGCAATCTAAGATGGCGGCTTCTGGTTGTAAACAATCTAGAGAACATTGTCAAATACCCTTATGTTTCGCAGACTTTAATAAAACCAGAAGCCGCCATCTTGGATTTCAAAATGTCGTATGGCATCGATTTCCGATCTCTAGACGCCACAACGATTCCCAAAATACCCATATTGAAGGGTATTGGACAATGTTTTCTAGATTTTGGACTTCAAAATGGCGTCGGACATCGTTTTCCGGTCGCTAGATGTCACCACCATTCCGAAAATATCCATATGTTTTGTATAGTTTGTTGAATAAGTTTGGTGACTCCGCACACCAATTTTGGGTCATCTTTTTTTGTCAGTTTGCCGCAGGTGTGCGGATTGTGCCAGTCACAGACAAAGATGCGATTGTTTGTAAAGTACCCATTTCATCTTTATTGTTTATTGTTGCCATATGGCTGTAGCCCCCAAATGATGTTAATAATACTAATCATAATAATAATAATAGTAAAATTACATGTCAAATAATCACAGAAAGAAAAACAAAGCAACATGGTCAGAATGTAAAAAAACATAAATGGAAATACACTAATTTTCTCTGTCAGTCGAAAACAGATGAGAATCTCCGACGAAGCGCATCACGTGTGAGGTGAAAGTCGAATACATGTGCGACTCTGTTGAACACACGCTGTAGTCCGTAAATCGCACCATATGCCCCGTAGTTCGTGCGACGCAGTGGCAGTCTCAGCATGAGGTTGTTACGGAGTGGTCGGGGTTGCACGTTTAGGTCAATTTGCCTCAGGATAGCCTCACAATCAATTCGTCCCTGTAGAGTGTCGGCGATAATCAAAGCTCTGCTGGTGTCCCTTCTAATCCGCAGAGGTTCAAGGTTTATCAGTTGGCAGTGACTCTCGTAGCTGGGCAGCCGAAGCGGATCCCTCCAGGGCAGTCTACGAAGCGCAAAACGAAGAAAGCGACGTTGAACAGATTCGATTCTCTCGGCACCATTGTTGTAATTCGGATTCCAAACCGCAGAACAATACTCAAGCGTCGATCGTACGAGGGAGCAGTAAAGAGATTTTAAGCAGTAGACATTGGTGAAATTCTTAGCTATCCTGAAGATGAATCCTAAAGTCCTAGACGACCTATTGATGACATAAGAAATGTGTTGCCTGAATGTTAGCTGTGAATCCAACACCACACCCAGGTCTTTCACCTGATTCACGCGTTCGAGTGTCGTTCCAAGCAGGTCATAGCTGAATACAATCGGTTGCTTTTTTCGCGAGAACGTTATGGCAGAGCACTTTGCTGGGTTCACTACCATTCGAATTAAAGTACACCAACTGGCGAAGACATTAAGCTGATGTTGAAGATTGTGGCAGTCAGCGATCGAGCAAATTCGTAAAAATATTTTGAGGTCATCTGCATATGCTAATCGAGGTCCTTCGATAACCAGGTTCACGTCGTTGAAGTAGAGTAGAAAAATCAACGGTCCCAGATGGCTTCCCTGCGGTATACCTGATGTGGCAAAGAAGCTAGCTGATTTGCAATCTCCTATAGCAACCATAAGTTGGCGACCAGTAAGATACGAACGGAACCAACTCAAGATATTACCGCTCACCCCAAGCCTGTCAAGTTTAGCAATCGCAATGTCATGATTCAACTTATCGAATGCCGCGGATAGATCGGTATATATAACGTCCGTCTGTACCCGTTCAGTCATACTATCGGTAATGTAGGATGTGAGGCATAGCAGATTGGTGGTTGTAGAGCGACCGCCAGTAAACCCGTGTTGATCAGCACTCAGATACTGCTTGCTGTGAGAGAGCAACGGTTCCATAATAACAAGCTCGAATAGTTTCGAAACAGCACTCAGCGATGTAATTCCACGATAGTTATCCACGGCTCGTTTGCTTCCCTTTTTGTGGACAGGAAACATGTGTGCACATTTCCAGAAGGATGGAAATATACCACTGGAGAGAGACATACGGAATAGACGGTGAAGTGGAGTTAACAAGCAAGCAATATGTTTCTTCAAAAACACGGACGGAACTCCATCGGGTCCAGGGTTGAAGGACGATTTGAGCTGCGTTGCAGCGTTAGAAATCATCTCAACGTTGTCATCAATTGCACCCAGCGTTTGACCAATTAGTGGGATGTTCCTGGCTGGAGGGAAACATGGTCGTCACTTAGTCTCTCAGTGAACACACTGGCAATATTGACAGAAAAAAGGCGGCAAATATCCTGCGGAGTAGAAGCGACTTCACTGTTCAATTCCATTGACGATGGGAGGCCAGATTCTCTGCGTTGCTCGTTCACGTAGTTCCAGAAGGATTTCGGGTGAAGTTTAAGGTTACGCTGAATACCTCGTTGAAATCGCAGAAAGCATCGACGACTGGCTCGCTGATACTCGTGATTAAGCCTCACGTAGTGATGTTTCAGAGGAAGCGTGCGATACTTCGTAAATCTTCTCAATGCTGCTCTCTTGGTCGACTTCAACCTACACAGCTCAATCGTCTGTCAGGGAGGGTGAGAGTCTTTGCGTTGAATTCTTTTCGGGACGTGTCTGTCAATGACATATGTCAAGACATGAGAAAAAGTTTGCGCAGCGGCCTCAACGTCGTCATGATCGAGAATGTTCTCCCAGTCCATGTTTGACAACACATCTACAATGCTTCGATGGTCGACCTTTCGAAAGTCATTAGAAACTGCAGCAGGAAGACTATCGAAATCACGAACGAGATTGTCCTCAACAGTGACAATCAGAGGAGGGTGGTGCGGAACAAGCTTAACTAGTGGACAAGGTGCTGTGGAAATGAACGGAGCATTGTCCTGAGTGCTCACGAAGCAGAGGTCCAAACTATGGTTGTTCTCGTTGACTACGCGGTTAATTTGAGAAAGCGTTGCTACGCTATTGTTATCGAGAAGGCCGATAGCTCCTGCATGAAATACAGAACGTTCTGGATCTGGATAGAGGAAGTCGCTATGGGATGGTCTCCACGAAATGCCTGCTAGGTTAAAGTCCCCAAAAATGAATAGCTCATCAATTGGAGTCGCTCTTTCCATTACTGTGAAGACTGATTGACAGTGAGTCTCGATGAGTTCAAGATCACGAACTCGATCTGGAGGCATGTACAATGCGCACAAAAATAATGTGCGATCGCCCAGTTTAATGGCTGTCCAAACTAGACCTGTGCGCCGCCGCGCCACGCCGCCGCCGCCGACGATTTTCATACGCCGCCGCCGCCGATGAAATTGAGCCGGCGCGCCGCCGCAGTAAAATAGTTCACACCGCCGAATAAATTTATGTCACGCCGATGAAAATACCGCAACATCTTTTCGGTAAAATGCATCTTGAACGCACGCTCATTCGTGGCTACTTAAAATCAGATCTACTCTAAATTGAGTAACACAGCCAGAACTGTTATTTCTTCTGATTCCCATAAATAAATAAAATTTGGA